TCGGAGCCAACATCGTTAGCGCCTGAAGTGAAGCAGTTCCTGCCTCGGATCACCAGGATAGTGGGAGCCGCACAGCTTAGATCGCTGATCTATATTTGTTAAAGTTGTTTAAAGAAAACTCATCAAGTGGCTATGGCCCAATGTCTGTTCGTGCCTCCGTTGGATTCGAATGTTGATTAGCCCCTTTGGACTTGGTAAATCAGATAAACACCTATCTTTAGGAATGATCATTTTCCCCTTAGGTTCCAGTCTTCACCTCTAACCTAGTTATTGTCGAAGTCTACTTCTGTGGCTGGGATGGAGTTAGGCGTTAAGTTGGTTGGGCTGCCATATTAGGGTTAGCAGGTACCATGCTTGGTTTGATGTTCATGCTCCTATGGAAAAGAAAGCAGTGAGTTCTACACAGAAGATCTAAATAATGGTGTAGGAATACGATCAAATGACTTGGCCCATCGTCCTACAACACAAATAAGTGTCTCCGTACAACATGCAGGAATATAAATAGAGCCAGAGTGGAGCTGAAGGACAAAGGCAAGGGTCTTATCAATCGGGTACTTATCAGTGGATGCGGTGAGGGATGATGTTCTGTTGTATTTGTAGATGTTCGATGTATTTTGATTCTTAAAGTGCAGGTAGTATAAGCATGTGATTTGATGGCATCAAATTGGAGGCCAATTGTCAATTGTCAAGGATCAATAGGCCACGAGTCCATATATGTACTAGCCACATAATACTACCTACTGTGGCCTGAATAGGCGAGTAACGCGTTGTCCGGTCCCTTGTACATCATTACAGGGCTATACAGTAATATATGGTATTTATGGTATTGGGGGGTTGAACCGCTACTGATCATCGGTTCGCGTGCGGTAAGGCCCCAAGTTGACAGGAGGCTGGGCATCATCTTCACACATGCTTGGCACTCTCACTCGCTTCTGCCCTATTTCTCACTTTCTATTCTCACTCCCTCGGACATTTGGCCTATCATACTCATGCAGTTCTCAGACGTGTCAAGAGCCCAGTTCCCTTATCCCGAACAGTTGGTTCAACAAGCATCCCCCGAGCGACCCTCGGGGTCTGGCAGTGCCGACACATCCATGGCTTCCCAGCAGTCCGGCCGCAGTTCCTCCGCCTCGGCGCGATCTCAGTCTAGCAAGACTCAGGTATGACTATGGCGGCTTGTTAATTGCCTACAGTACGGTGGCTAATGAACCGGTGTTTCCCCCCACCGCACAGCCCGATAAGCAAATATCCCAAATCGAAAAGAGCGTGACGCACCTCTTGGTTGCGACAAAACAACTCCTCGAAACCTTAACCCAATGGTCTCGAAAGCAAGCATCGGAGAACGACGTGTCAGATGTATACGTTCGATTGGGCTATGAATTTAATTTGGCCTGTCGCGCCTTCAGTGCCATCGGAGTCGACACTTCAGACCTCGGTCCCGTACCAGACCTGCTGCGCACCATACTTGAAGACACTCTTAGTCAAGATGCATCTTCCCAGAGCCTCGATAGATACCTTCCCAGAATTCGAGATATAATCATCAACTTGTTAAAAGGGCTGAAGAAGAAGCAAGCTCGCTTAAGGTCCCGGCACCAGCGCGAAGATGGCCGGTCCGCACCAGGACGGCAAGCCAGTGCAGGAAGCATCGCTAGTGGGCAGCCCATAGGTCAACTGTATGATGAAGCTGCAGCATCCACCATGCCGTCAACATCCCAGTCGTCTCCCAGACGATCAAACAGACGGTATGGCAGCGGATCGCTGGAGGATCCACCGTCCATTGCTCGAACATCCTCGGCACCTTCGATAACCGAACCGCGGACGACGAACTACGCCGAAAGAGAACTATCGCGACGAGAGGCCCAGCAAATGCTGTCTCAACCCACGCCCTTCGATAACGATACAACCCCTCGAGCCAACACATCGAACACCACTGCACCTTCATATATTACACCCACCGGGTTCTCTGCGCCTCCACCTCCACCCCCGCCGAAGGAGGATGACGCATTGGGGGCTTTGCAGAGAAGTGGAGAGCTTGAGCGACGTGCCTCGCGTCGATTCTCCGCTTATCAGATCCAGAAACATTTAGGTACATCTACAAACGGTGTTCCTGTCCTGCCTACTCAGAACTCTCCTATTCCCAATCGCGGTCGTGATGTCCGCGAATCCTTGAACGCAGTCCGTCTGCGAGGTTCATTTGCTCATACACGACAACGATCCAACAATCGTTTACAGGAAGTCGCTAAGGTTGCGCAAGCTCCTCAACCCGCAAATATTCCGAATGTCGTGGAAGAAGAACGCATTCCTCCACCTGCGCCTCCATTTGAGCCACAAGAGATCGACAGCACACCACTCGAGGTGCCAAATGAACCGGATGCTCATAAGGTGAAAGACGATACCGTGGAATCTACCATTGTTCCTTCTTCGATTCTCCCCCTACCCCAAGAGAAGCCAATACTGGAAGAGGCTTTTGAGTCCGCAAAACCAGCACCGCAAACCCCGAAGGAGGACACCTTTGAATTGTCCGAGATCGCAACACCGCTATCAGCTATTCAATTTGCTACTGAGCAACCTTCCCCGGGCAAAGAGCTGACGCTGTTCCTACAATATAAAAGCAAAATTAAGAAGTATGTGCTCCCAGATGGCATTGCAGAGCTCACCATTGGGCGTCTGCAGCTTGCTTTTATTGAAAAGTTTGCCTGGAATACCCACGACAATGGCGTTGATTTGCCGGAAATTTATATCCAAGACCCAATTTCAGGCATCCGACATGAACTAGAAGATCTTACCGATGTCAAAGATCGGTCTGTGTTAGTGCTTAACGTTGACAATCTCGATGAGGTTAAGAAACATTTCGATGACGGCCTCGGAAGCGTACGCCTCCTGGTCGAAGGTGTTAAAGAGACGCTTGCTGGCCAAGGAAATATCATCCAGCGGGTTTCGGATCGTCAGCTTGAAGCAGCCAAAGAAATTGCTCGCTTGTCTGCTGCTCCACCAGCAACCTCTAGCCTGGCTGCCGTTGGAGGGAATTCCAAGGCATCGATTGTGGGTAGCGGAACTCAAATTGCTGAGCTTCAGAGCTTGCGTCGTGATTTGGCTGTCCTGCGTCAGACGTACTCTAACTTTACTTCCGATATTACCGGTTCTATGAGCGCAGTCCGTGCCAAGGCAAGCAAGGTCAAGACCGTTGCTAGTGACATTTCCACTCCCACTTATGAAGGTGATGCTGGGCGTGCTCGCGTCAACACTGGTAAGAAGGAACTTGCCGGTGAATCGGAGCGGCTGGTCGCTCGCGTCGATGATCTCCAAGATTTGGTTGAGGATCTTCGAAAGGATGTTGTGACCCGCGGCGTTCGTCCTCTTCCAAGACAATTGGAAGGTGTCGGCCGTGACATTAGCTTGGTGATGAAAGAAATCAAGAAAATGCAGGACTTCCTGGCTCGCGAGAAGCCCGTCTGGACCAAGATCTGGGAAAAGGAACTACAACTGGTTTGCGAAGAACGAGACCAGCTTACCATGCAGGAGGATCTCGCCGCCGACTTGCAAGATGATCTCGAGAAGGCAACTCAGACCTTTGCCCTGGTGGAGCAAGCTACCAAGGAGCAGGTCTTGACAAATGCAACCGGTAGCACCGCTGTCCGCGCCCCATCCAGGAGTCTTGGAATTGACCCAACTGTTGATCCCATGAAAGCCAAGGACGGTGTCCTGGGTGAAGTTCGTGCTTTGCAACCAAACCACGAAAGCCGACTCGAGGCCATTGAGCGAGCCGAGAAAGCACGAAAGAAGGAGCTTGAGACTCGGCGAATCGGTCTTTTCCAGAAGGAACTTGGTGCATTTGTCGACGAAGGCAAATTGAAGAAGAGCGGTGGCTTCGAGGAGACTGAGCGCCTTCGTACTGCAAAAGACGACCGCATCCGTAAAGAAGTTTGGGATCGACAGCAGGCCCGCAATGCCGAGATGGAGAAGGCAGAAGCAGAGGCCGCTGCTGTGCAGGCAGCTGAGCAGGCAGCTGAGCAAAACAACGAGGGCGGAGGCGATGACGCCCAAGAAGAAGGTGGAAATGAGGCGAAACCGGAGGATGGAGATGAGGCAGAGGAGGTAGAAGAGCCCAAGTCTCCATCTTCCGACACGGACAAGCCCCTACCTACAGCGCCTGAGGAGGAAGACGAAGCCGACCCCGAACATCCCTCTACTTGATCCCGTATTGTACGCAACCTCGGTCTCATCATCCCCGACCCAGTGAGCTTTCATGTCGAATCATTTATTGCTAAGTGCAAGTGAAATTGGTTCCATACGTATTTGTTTTTGCTTTTGTTTTTGTTTGCTGCATTCGACATTGCATTGAGGCCTTAGTTTTGTTTCTTTCATTTCCGTTGATACCTTTTGGCGTGTTTCCTGTGCGAGAGCCTCCCATGTCATGTCATTTACTGACGATACCCTGCCATACTCTGTGGTGTGCTGCTAGCATTTAGTCTTTGATTTTGCAAATGATATGAGCACCTTTGAAGTTGGTGTTAAATAATTCTTATTTGGTTAGGTGGAAGTAGTCTGTCTCTTGATATCGTACCACGTCGACCAAGACATAGAGAATAATCTTCAATGCCGAAATCAGCCAATAAAAAAGTTTCCACTGACTTGTTGTTGTACTCCACATCTTGACATGTCTGTTCTGCAAGCTAATGCGTAGCGGTGTGCATTCCCAGCCACCTTTATATGCAGCTTTATAGAAAGCCCAATGCGCCCTTAATTATTCCTAGTCCGACAAAGCCTCTTTCATCAAATCTGTCGAACTCAACTAAATTGAATGTTAAAGGATAATATATATTCGCATCAACTCAACTCGAAGTTTCATTCAACCAATCCATCCACTACTTTTGTTAGTGAAACAAACGCATATTTGAGACAACTATCGAACTGCAAGTTAGCCTTCAACCCGACTTATTTCACTGGTCTCAGCCTAAACAAACTCGACATCGATCCTGGTCGCGATATTCAGAGGCAGTATGCAGCTCCTCCACGCCCTCACCGTGTTCTGCTCACTGCCACAGTTTGCAACACTGGTCTTAGCAGAAAATACAAACCCCTCTGCGGAGCGAGAATCCAAAGAAACTAACACGCGATCGCTGCCAGCAAAAATCATCATACAGCGCAATGCCGCTATAGCATCCCAGCTCGCATCAGGACCAGCTCTCGGCGTGAAGAAAATGAGCGAGAACGAAGGCGAGAAATTCTTCCTCGACTACTGGAGTTTTGGAGAGGCCTCTTCGTCAAGTAACATATCTGAGCGACACTTCTCCGAGGAAGAAGGATTTTCACCAGCGCGCTTTGTGGCCCAATCATACCCTTTCGGGCCATCTTATTCCCCGAGCACAGATGGGTACAGTCAGTTCCTTCCCCGAGGAAACAACAGCGCAAACAATCTGTTTGAAAAACGAGACTTCAAGTGCCCGACTGGGACATTGGGGTGCACATCCATCGGTCGATCCGATCGCTGCTGTGGGTCCGGGGAGACGTGCGAGATTGTTGCTGATACAGGGAACGGCGATGTGGGCTGCTGTCCTAGCTGGCAGACGTGCTCTGGGACTATTGGGTCGTGTGAGAGTGGGTATACGGCTTGTTCGCAGGCTTTGGGGGGTGGGTGTTGTATCCCGGGATATGATTGTGTTGAAGGAGGATGTAAGTGAATATTCCCAGATTGTTGATGGGAATTGGGAATATGAACATTTTGCTGATTGGTCGAGTAGGCGCATACATCACTGTTATTACGGTGACTCTTCATTCGACCGTGATGTTGTCTACTGTGACCTATTCGACCAAGCCGGATAGTACTTCCACTTCAATTTCCACTTCAACCTCCACTTCGACTTCGACTTCGACTTCCTCGACAATCTCTTCCCAAAGCGGCACATCCACAACAGACGAAAGCTTGGCACCACCAGCACGGCCTACGAACCTTTCAACAGTAACCAGCGATGTCTGCCCGACTGGTTTCTATGCCTGCTCCGCTGTCTACCAAGGTGGCTGCTGCCGTACTGGACGAGACTGCGATACGACATCATGCCCGACCACATCTTCGACGACTATGACATCAGACGGTGTGACGATTGTAGCGCCCGTCGCGACAACAACGGAACGTTCTGGTGGGAACCTGTGCGCTCAGGGCTGGTTCCGTTGTGCCGACACCGTGGGTGGAGGATGCTGTCCCACGGGGTTCGCTTGTGGTTCTAGCTGTACTGCAACGGACACCGCATCTGCGACAACTGTCACCAAGGAACAGGCGACTGCGACTGCTGCTAGCGGAGATGGTGTAGTGCATCGGATTAGCAAAATGATGTTGGGGATGACGCTGGGGATGTGTGTAGGATATTGGATGTTATAAAAAAGACAGGAGAAGACACGATGCACATGAATTTATGACAATAAAGCTGCAAACAGTTCGGAATGTGAATTTTATAGAAGCTCTCCCCACGGGGGTTTAGTAATCGGGCTAAACGTACAGGCGGAGGCTTACCGGCTGCTGCACTCGGACCCGATCACCGATTCTCGCCGACACCGGCAACCTCATCTCTTCTCACTTCTTCCTTCTCCAACCCTCGTTCTTTTAAGGTCTTGTGAGTGAATATGTCGTGATCTGATCGCAAAACTGTGTTTTTCGATGACTTTTCGATCCCAATATTACCCAATTAAGGCCCCGTACTGACATCCCAGCTCAAGCCGCCATCATGTCTGAAACTCCCCAGAAGCCCCTCCCCTTCGTCTACCAGTTCGCCGCCGGTGCGGTGGCTGGTGTCTCAGAGGTATGTATCTTTTGCCTCTGTTTTGAAAAACGATCCCGACCTGATTCGTCATGTCGGAACCCCCCACGAGATGTTTTGTTGACTAACATGTCTCCCCGCACGAGCAGATCCTGATCATGTACGGCTATCCACTTCCTTTCCTTGGTATCATAAGTGCTTCTGTTGGAGATATGCTTGGTACAGTGTGAAAATTGGACCCAATTGACGATATGTGACTCGCAGGTACCCTCTGGACGTGCTCAAGACTCGAATGTAAGCAAGCCGCCGGTCGCAATAAACACGGACTTTATATGACACGGGCTAACGATATCCTCTTGCAGTCAGCTTCAGTCTGGACCCGCTGTTCCCGGTGCGGATTACTACAATGGCATGTTCGACTGCTTCCGTAAGATTGTTAAGAACGAGGGGTATGTCATCACTCCAGCGACGCAGCCACGGCTCTCTCTCTAACATGCGACACCGAATAAAGTGCTTCTCGTCTATACCGTGGTATTTCCGCGCCCATCCTGATGGAGGCGCCGAAGCGTGCGACCAAGTTCGCTGCTAACGACAGCTGGGGTGCTTTCTACCGCAACCTGTTCGGTGTGGACAAGCAGACCCAAGGACTGGCCACCCTGACCGGAGCCACAGCCGGAGCTACTGAAGCTTTTGTCGTGGTTCCTTTCGAGCTGGTGAAGATCCGTCTTCAGGACAAGGCACAGGCCCACAAGTATAACGGCATGATCGACGTTGTGAGGAAGATCGTTGCCGCAGAAGGCCCGCTGGCAATGTACAACGGCCTTGAGTCGACCATGTGGCGCCACATTCTGTGGAACGCCGGTTACTTCGGCTGTATCTTCCAGGTCCGCGCTCAGCTACCCGCCGTCGAGCCCGGCAACAAGAACCAGCAGACCCGCAACGACCTGATTGCCGGTAGCATTGGTGGTATCGTCGGTACTGTCGTCAACACCCCAATGGATGTTGTTAAGTCCCGCATCCAGAACACTTCCAAGGTCCCCGGTCAGGTCGCCAAGTACAACTGGGCCTGGCCTGCTCTCGGCACCGTGATGAAGGAGGAGGGCTTCGCTGCTCTGTACAAGGGCTTCACGCCCAAGGTCCTGCGTCTCGGCCCTGGTGGTGGTATTTTGCTTGTTGTTTACACCAGTGTCATGGATTTCTTCCGCACCATGCGCGCTGAAAAGTAAATTTTTCGTGCTTGTTGTGGTTGAATGTTTGATAGCGAAAGTATTTCCCAAAAGCAACATCCATGTGGACGGCCATCCCGACCCCTTTGCCCCGATACCCTCTTCCACTATCCTTTTCACCTTGGATTCAGAGTTGATAGAACATGTGGAGGAAGTTGTGGTTTTTGGTTTCTTGTCTTTTTATACTACCCTCTTGGCATTTTACAATAGAGAACGGCCATTAGATGGACATAAGAACAAAATAAAACAATAAATTCATGTGTTTACCCTATACATATTTACCTCCCACGATCAATCTAGCCCAGCCTCTGCTAAGGCTCCCACATCGCCTCCCTCATAAACTTGCTCCTCCTCCGAATCTCCGGGCCTTTCCAAACCAAAACAACAGGCACGACAGACAACGCAATCCCAATAAACCCAAGCAAAGTCCCCGCCCATCCATACCCAAGATTGGAGAACAACTGCGGCGAAGCAAGCGGCAAGAACGCACCAAAAGTATTCCTCCCAAGCGAAGCAGCCGACAAAGCCGATGCCGCATAACGCTCATAAGCATCAGTCAAATAATTAACAACAGCCATATAAATCGAATAGATCCCAATCCCCGTCGCCGTAACACCGATAGTCGGCACGATCCAATGAACATGCGGCTGACTAGCCCAGCCATACCAGAACAAACCCGCCGCAAATAGCAGACTACCCGGGATAGATGTGTACAATCTCGCCTCAGGGATAGGTTTCCCGGGGTTCTCTTTATTGTGCCTCTCAGAGCGGAGATGAATCCAGTCCTGTAGCGGGTTGATGACTGTCCCGATGACCGCACCCACCGAGATGGCGAGCTGTATCAGACCTGTTGACATCGTGCCCCAGTTGTAGTTCGTGGAGTAGGTTTGCACGACGCTGGAGAAGAAAAGGAACAGGATCCCCCAGGCGAAGCTTATCCACAAAGTGAAGAAGGTCACGACCGGCTCGGCTATGAGCATGTGTGTTGGGCGTTGGAAGGAGAGTCTCAAGAGATTGAGTTTGCTTGGGGCGTTTAATTCGGAGGAGGCGTAGATGGGGAGGTTGGTTTCTTTGCGGATCTTCTTTGCGCGCTTCTTAAGGATCACATCTGGGCGGGTTTCTTTGAGGATTAGCCAAAAGACCGGGATCAAGGCTGCGTTGTAGATAATTTGGATGTAGAAGATCCTACGTGGGAGGTGGTCAGCATGATGGGATTTTGGATATTGATATTCAGAAATGCAAGTTGTGCTTACCAACGCCATGGGTGCGATCTATTAATCTGCACAATAGAAGATCCAATAAATGGACCAAGTGAAATACCGACAACACTCGTAAATCCGAATATAGACATGGGCAGGCTGCGAGCCTCGTTACCGAACCACACATCGGAGATACTTCCTCCGACAATATTAATCGCGGTGGAAGAAGCACCTCCACCGAAGAACCGAGTCACGATGAGTGTCGCGAAGTTCTTTGCGAACGCGGATGGGAAGAGCGAAATGACGAGGAGTATATACGCCACGAAGTATCCTGGCATGCGGCCGGAGGACTCTGACAGAGGGACGAAAATCAGTGGCCAGAAGGCGGCGCCCATGTTCCAGGAAGTGGTGGCCCAGTAGAGGTTTGGGAAGGGGGTGTTTTGGACATTGAATTCTTGCTTCAACCAGTCGTTGCCGGAGCCGTAGCTTCCTGCGGGGATTCCTGTCAGGATGGAGCTGGTGAGGATGTTAGTTTGATGCTTAAAATTATGTATTTTGTGTTGAGATGGCATTTCTTACATGAAGCAAACGGTAATCGTTATCACCCATTTGTATCCGAAACTCCAGTTGAAGGGATTCTCGGGGTCATCGGGCCCATCCCATGTGTGGATTTTGATATCTTTATCCTTATCAGACATCTCGGTTCAGTATTCTCAATTCTGTGAGGGAGTTAGTACTTTTGCTTTGTTAAGCGCTGCATCAAACATGAAGGATGAAGATGAAGTTTGGGGATACTGACTTCCGGGCTTCTTCTATTACTTCGCAGCAACAGGCAATCCGGTGACAGGCTGTTCGGCCTGATAGACCGACGGGTCTCCTCGAATCCGCCATGACGAGATACATATTCAGGCATGACGTATGTTGACTAGTGGGTCATACAAGCTAGGAAAACAAAAAAAGGTGACCGACGCAGGGATCACCTTTAATCTTTTGATTCGTGGTTAAGCGCCTTGCCGTCGGGCCAGCTGGCCGTGCTGTTACTTCGTGATGTTGCCCAATATGAGACATTTGCACTCGTATCGACAGTTTTGTCCAATGAGGAACATGGTTGTTTTGTTCAACGCTCTGATCTTTCTATGTGATATCACAGTTGAAATCGATCAACAGTCAGAAAAAAGTTCTCACTGGGAAGCTGCCTAGTATACAAATAGTCGCAATCACGGATTATCTATGGAGCTTTATGGTTGACTTTTAGATCCTAGAAATCCTAAGGGCAGAGAAAACATAAGGAGACATAGTTGTATTCAATGTAGAAACAGTCTCGGAGGAAGGCTAAGCACAAAGATAAGGAGACACGCTTGCATCTCAGAAGACATATGTTGGACATGTGAGCATCTTTGCAAAGCTACATACGACTTGAGTTCCTATTTCCTCAGCTGTTCCAACTCAAGCTCCGCTTTGTGCAGCTGCTTGAGGCTGTCGTTGTAGTACTCAGCCAGTGTCGCATACGACACTTTGGCTGCTTCGGCCTCATTCTTCATTCTCTGGATTTCTTGGGATTGCTTGGAGTTGGCCCGACGAAGGTTCACATTCTCCGCTTGCAGCAGCTGAAGACTGGTCTTGCCCGATTTAGGGTCAATATTGGTCGCCTTCCGCAAATTACGTTGGTAGTAGTTGCGTTCTCTAGCCAAGGTCTGAATTCGAGCGCGCGCGTTGTCAAGCTCGCGAGAGTTCATCGAGGAGATAGGAGGAGCAATTGTTGCAACAGGTGCGAATGGTGAAACGTGTTGGGCATAGCCCTTCTGGTTCGTCAACGCTCGCGGAAGCTGCATGGCGCGAGGATTGGGGCTAGGAATGGCGCTTGCCTGTGAAAGACAGTCAGCACATATTTCTAATTAAATGGTCAATCATAAGTAAGGACTTACAATCACATTTGTCGCGGCATTCGAAGGTGCAGTTGTAGCTGCAGGAGCTCGGGGAGGGCAAGGAGTCGACGAGGTGGGACTGGGAGTCTCAACAATCTCGACACTCTCGACACTCGCGACAGACTGGGTGCCAGGAGAATTGAACAGAGAGTCGGGCGAGTCCATATTCTGGAGGCCTTGGCTGGCTGTCTCCTCTTCCATGATCTGAGGAGTAGAGGGTGGCACGCCAGCATTGACCAAATTGGCCTGGGCGATGAGGTTCTCCCAGCTTCGGACCTTGGAGACGTCAGTGTCCTCCGAGGTGTATGCAATACCGATCGAGGGGTCGTATGGCATCTGCCTGTAGGGTGCCTGGGCAGGGATGTTGCTGGATAGTGGCTGGGTAAAGCAGTTTACAGATGTGGCTGAACTGGACTGTCCAAAACCAGACTGATCGAGGTCATCGAGAGGAATACTGGCGAAGAATTCATCGAAACTGCACAAGAGCTCGGGGATTTGATAGTGCTCGAAGTCATTAGAAGCATTAGAAGATACATTGGCATCGAGGCTGGCGAGGCCATTGAGAAAGGCCTCGGGGTCGAAAGCAGGCTGGTCAAGCCCAAAGTCAGGCTGGTTGGGGTCAATTAGAGCCATTGTAGTCAGGAATGAGCATTAAGTTTAGAAAATATTGAAGAGGGTAGGAAAAACAAGAAGATGTTGTGGAGGGATCAAAGAGGAGGGATGGTAATAACCGAGGAGGGAATTAGGGCTCATAGACAGGCAAAATGGAAGCAAACAAGAACAAAGAAAGTGACATTTCTATTGTCTTACACCAAACAATGGAGTCCAATAGGGATCAATACAGCTCAATAGAGACGACAAATACATACTTGTTTGACTACATCGGTATGTTTTTTTTTCTGCCGTCCAATCAATTATTCTGCTAGAGGTTTAACTTAATGTTGACCAATCATATGTCAATCCCAAGCACCGCTGGACGTACCGCCCAATCTAGTTCGGGGACTAGAGATAGAGTAAGTTTGACAACACGAAGAATTCACACAAGATATTGTTCAATTATATAAAATTAGACACATTTCTAGAGCAGAGCTATTAGCTTATCTATAAAATCATTAACGGATCTTGTTAGACAAGCAATAACGCGTAACTGGTTCTTTGCACCTTTTTGACCGCCTGCCCTTTCAGCTTCACCGCCTTTTTACCGCCCTCGCCTTATCGCCTTATCGTCACACAGCGACACCGCTTTGCTCACGTGGATCTATAATCACGTGGTGGTAATGGCAGTAAACGGGACTCCATCCAACGTTCGGTCTGGGCCGTCTCGCCTTGACAGCTCCCGTAACGCCTCAAGGGACTCCAGAGGTACCCAGAACGAGGCCACGAAGATCAATTACTTCCCCGCTACATTCATTTGAACCCAACTAAGGCGAACATGAGTGTCATTCTATGCACCGGTAAGTGGAATATCATAAGGAGCTCCCCGCATTCTTCTAGGCATTGAGCTAATTACCTTGGTTGCATATTTTAGCGGGGTACGACCATACCATTCGGTAAGTTGGCACTTAGTTAGCTGCGTGCAGTGTTTATCCAGCACCCACAGAGCGATAATTCATACCGGGACTCTTGCTGACTATTTCTCTGCTAGCTTTTGGGAAGCGCTCTCGGGTATCTGTTCACGTACAATCCAGCATCCAGACTCCCAAGTCAATCGTCTTTGCATCACCCCGGATAAGAGATTCCTGGCTGCGGCGGGTCATAACAATGTCAAACTCTTTGACATCAAGTCAACCAATCCTAACCCCGTGATTACCTTCGAAGGTCACACGAGCAACATCACCGGCGTGGCATTCCACTGCGAGGGAAAATGGATGGTTACCAGCTCCGAGGACGGAACTGTGAAAGTCTGGGACACCCGTACCGGTAGCTTGCAGCGAAACTACGTCCATCGGGCTCCGGTCAATGATGTGGTCATTCATCCTAACCAGGGCGAGCTCATCAGCGGTGACCACGCCGGTATGGTTCGTGTCTGGGATTTGGGCGAGAGTGTCTGTACTCATCAATTGATTCCGGAGGAGGACACTGCGGTTCTCAGTGTCAGCGTTGCCAGTGATGGATCCTTGCTTTGCGCTGGAAACAAGAAGGTGCGTGATTTTGTTTCACGGCAGATATTATGATTCTTTACTAATACTTCAACAGGGCAACGTCTACTTGTGGCGCATGGTCCAAACTGAGGAAACCACCCGAATCATCCCCGTCTGTACCTTCCAAGCGCATAAGGACTACCTCACTCGTGTTCTCCTCTCTCCCGATGTCAAGCATCTTGCAACTTGCTCTGCGGATCATACTGCCAAGGTTTGGAACCTCGACGCTGAATTTCCGCCTGCCAAACTGGCATTACAGCAATGGAAGGAGAATGAGGCATTGAACCCGACAGTTGAAGCAGCACCGGTGGAAGCTCCGGTAACCCCTGTCGAGGTTCCCGCCCAATCTCGGGATCTGCTTCGCATTTTCGACGCACCCGTCCAAGACCGTGATCTCCTCCGTATTACCGACAACCCTCCTCGCCAAGAGACACCGCAACAGACATTCACCTCATCCCCCGACGGGCCTCCTATGGATCCAGTCAACCACACACTGTTCCTAGAGACCACCCTCGCCAATCACCAGCGCTGGGTTTGGGACTGCGCTTTCTCTGCAGACAGTGCATACCTCGTGACTGTCTCCAGTGATCACTACGCCCGTCTGTGGGAGCTCGGCACTGGCAACATCATCCGCCAGTACAGCGGCCATCATCGAGGTTCCGTTTGTGTTGCTTTGAATGACTATTCGGAGCCTCGCTAGGGGCAAGATGCAAGGTTGAGTTATCTCAACTAACTGGCGTTTTGCTTTCATGATTGATGGGTCTTTACTGGCGTTGACATTATTATGGGTAATCTACACATGGCATGGCGCAAGCAATGATGGGTGTTTCCCAATTTTTCCTGGTTACATGGCGTATTTCGGCTGGTCAATGGAGACCTTTGTCGTTGAATTATTCTGCAGACATTTTTACTTCCCCTAGTTTCATCCCACAGAGGATCCTGCATAGTCTTGAGATACCACTAACAATTCCAATATCTATGCCAAGTTTTCTTTCTCCGCACTATGTATACATACTGGGTAACATCCATGGATGTCCCATAGACGTTTGCAAGGCTATCCAATTTCTCGAAGAATACCAGCAAGTCTAAACTAGAAGAAACATAACACCACGCTTAGACCGAACTCAAATCAAATGACACGAGAAAGAGAAGAGCAGATCTGAACATACCCAGAGCACTAAAAACACATGTTCAAGTACATGAAAAAGAAAGATGAAGCCCGTGATACAAAGCCGATAAGGAGTTCAAGGAACTTCTCACAGACAAAGTCACGACCTCCGCTTATGGACTTTTATGCCATCCATGGATATGTTCATCATAGAACAGGCCAAAAAAAAATCAGGCCCGTCCTTATACGACGGCAAACCATGTCACACAAACAACAACATCAATCCCGCGCTCCTCAGCACCAGTGTACTTGAAAGTCCACATGCCATCGCGGTTGACATCCCAGAAGGCCCCGGAGGCGGAATGCATACCACGCTTACCGGCATTGCTGAGTGCGCCACCCTCGGCGATGGACGGGTCAATCACGCCCTGCTGCACGATTGTGCTGTTCACGGTGAAGCGGTAGGGAGGAGGCTTGGAGGCATCGGTAGGTGCGGTAGCGGAGATCAGGGCCTTAAGGACGGTGTTCTGCGCGGGGAATTGTCAGTATCACTATTGCGCGGTTTGGTGTTAGTGCTTACGATAATCTGGGAGTTCCAGGTTCCGACATTGTCATGCTCATAGCTCTGGCTTGTCTTGAGGGCATCCGAACAGGCCTAGAGTAAAATGTTAGCGCGGGGTTGATGCTACGGGGTATTCTGGGGAACGGGCGTACCTCGGTGGTGATCTTAGTGAGATCCTCAATAGGGATGGGCTGAAGGGTTGTTAGGACCGTTCGTGATAATGTAATGGTAGTGCGTATTCTTGCAGCCTAGTTGCGCATTGATATGTCGCGGCTGTGGTGTCATCTGCGATTAACGTACCGATGCTGAGGCTTCGACAGACATTGTGAATTAATTGAACGCGGTAGGTAGGTTTGAATGTTTGAGGACGCTATATAGAGAATTTTGTTAGTATACAAGCAGATTGACTCAAACTTTGACGCGTGTAGACACTCCATTGGGCTGACATCATGGCCCAAATACCACGGGATATGCGCGCGACCCCGAAGCAACGCGGGGAGAAGGGGCGCATTTAGGGACGAATTGGTGCGGATAGTCTCTTTCAAACAGGGTAGATATATTCACATACCTTTATTGGATCTGGATAGCAGATATGATTATGCTTGTGGGATGCTTAGAGGACTCTCCTTGCAATCTACGTGGATTGTTTGGATGCTTGGCTATCATTGGGGCGCTTGGCCTAAAGGGGTTTGGCGCATGTTTGATTCTGCCACGACGGTGTGGGAGTATAAACATCACGGTTTTATTAACTTCAGGTATGTTTCGATCTGATATAGGGAAATATATTAAATGCTGCTCAATTGAGTGGTTTACAATTTGATCAGGGGTGCAATTAATATCAAACCCCTGGGAAGTATGGGAGCAGAAGAAGACATCAGGCTAGATAATAACGCCCTTGGAGGATATATAGTTCTTGTGAGCACCTTCAAAAAAAACCTGATCCGGCTTTAGCATTCTTTTGCTAGCAAAAGGTACACTATTAAGTCAGTTCTAATCAAGTAGCTGGTGATCATGGCAGTATCCTCAAATTGAACGAACCTTAGTTCCAAGCCAGGTATTGGGAAATTCGTGTAGGAGTTTTGGGTTATTCTGGACTAGCTATTTCCAATAATCATCTTACGCCGAATTGGACAGAAAATAATATGGAACAAAATGACGAAAGAGAACAAGAAGTAACTTGGTATGCCTAATAAAACGCCCATTCAATCTTACTCAAATAGAACCTTCCCTGAAATAAACAGAACGAGAATCAATTACTATGTCTAATAGATACCAGTACTTTATTTAGCTTACACCTGTTTCACTCTCTAGCAGATTCCTTTATTTCCAGGCTTATTGTTTCTCCTTAACTAGTGGTATCCTTTTTCAACCGGGGCTCATTGTTCAATTTGGCTTTGTACTCGCCCTTTACTTAGAGTTTATTCAAACAATGGTATTTATGGACCTTCTTTGTCCTCAGTCTGTGATATCGGAGGTATAAAGCCAGGTACTAGATAGCGTCTTCAAATCCAGTTAAATTGACGAGCTAGTGAGTGTTATCCGAGGCCTTTTCTCCTATCTCTTAACCCCTAACCCATAATGCCTAGATACTCTCCATGGGAAGAAAAAGGACGAAGCCTACGAAGATGGATTGAACGCGAACATGAGCTGGGGTGTCCATACCCTAGATCCACATTCGCTGTGACATATGATCCCCAACCCCAGAATTATTCTGTCACCCACGAAGCTGTATGGTGGGATTCAGCATGGGATACCTGCATCTACCCTCTTGATCTACCAGATGAGCTTAACAAGATAGAAATCCATAATCGACAAGGTCCACCGGTGGGCTGGGAGGGACGCACTGGACAAGGGGTGGTCTTCCTTGACTGGATCCGTCGATCAAGGCGAAGCACCGCTCCACATATATCAGAATTAACTAAGGCTGCCTATGAGATGGATTTTCCGCTCAACAGTCTTAAATACGTATTCGTTACTTCGATTTTTGAAACTGACACGGTGCAGTGTGTTCGTGATGAGGTGTATAGAGCCGAGGAGCTTGAGTACCCTTCTAGTGAACACCGGATCTGGACTCCCTCGTGCGAGTTTGATGCCCTGCTGGGTACTGCAATCGGTAAGACGGCTGCAGCTTTTGTTCTGTGTGCGTGGGGCCAAGGCAGAAAGCGAATTGCTAGGATCGTTACTTTTCATGATGGTGAATACCTTCAACGCCTTAACATGCGGTTTGATATTGAAGATGTATGATAGGTATCCCTTGATCTTGGTATATAGACGACTACTTGCGGTTTCTATCGTTTTTGATATAGGCTTGCTAGTATGATGATTGCATTTTTCAGACCGATAGATTTAGGTGAGTCGATAGTATGAAAGAGATTAAAATTCTCAAGTTGTTACAATGCAAATGCCATTTATACTAGATTTCACTTGCAAAAAATCACATATTAGTGCATAAATATGTAGTCGAGTACCCTCTCTGTGGGCTAAGATTGGGCGCAAAAGCAATAGAAACCCATTTGATCACCTTGGGGACAACTTGTTCCCATATCGGGAGAATCGGCATCCCGTATTGGGCATATCGGAGGAAGATCCGAGCAGTATGACGTCACCGTCCCCGGTTTATTTAATTAGGTAAACACACACATCAACCTTGGTTGAAATCAGGGGTCCCTCATCCCACCTTGTATCTACGAAGGGCATCGGATTACAATACCATCTTCACCGAAATGATTCCTCGTCGGGCACTGAAGCCATACGCGGCTGAATTTCTCGGGACTGCCCTGCTAATCGTTATCGGGGATGGAGTTGTCGCCCAATGTCTGCTCTCCGACTACAACTACGGCACCTGGCTGTCCATCAACCTCGCCTGGGCTGCTGCCGTGTGTCTATCTGGCTATTTATCCGATCCCGGCCCGACCATAAACCCGGCCGTGACTCTTTGCCTTGCCCTTGTACGTCCATCTGAAGGGCAATGGAAACAAATCCCAGGCAAGCTGGCTGCGCAGTTCCTGGGCGGGTTTGTCGGCGCTGCCATCGTATATATCAACTACCGTTCGGCGATCAAAGCTTGGGATCCTGAATACACCATTCCCGGCGGATCAATCCTGAGCCCGGTCGGTCACCATTCAGCGGGCATCTTCTCGACCTACCCAGGTGCCTTCTTCCAGTCGAACTGGGAGGCTGTCTTTTCTGAGATGCTGGGCTCAGCTGTGCTGATGTTCGGCCTTCTCAGCATCTCCGATCCTGGAAATGCCCGTCGATTTCCTGCTCCTCAGATCGCTGTCTTTCTGCTGCTGCTCATGATCGGAGCAGCATTGGGCTGGCAGACCGGTTATGTATGTTCCCAGGTTGTCAGGTTAGGAACTCGTACTAATAAAACCAGGCCATTAACCCAGCCAGAGATTTTGGCCCGAGATTGTTCTCTGCTATCGTCTATGGCCGAGAGGTGTTTACGGCGGCCAACTACTATTTCGTTGTTCCCCTCTTCGCCCCTATTGTTGGCTGCGTTTTAGGCGCGGCGACTTACGACGGGATGCTGTTCGAGGGAGAGGGATCGCGCATTGCCGATGCGCTGGACGAAGCCGAGGATCACGGATCTCTTCGACTGCAGTGATATTTGGGCTTTGAAGACTTAATGCAATGGTAGACTTGCTAGTGTGGGATTAACGAGGATTATCATCATTAGACACGGAATGAGGCTAGATGAGAGCAAGAGGATAATATTACCCTCAAGCATCAATACAGATGGGTCTGACCAGGGGAGTAGGTAATTCACGATCTTACAACAACCAAATGTAGTTCCAACATCAGCTTTTTCACAACATCGATTCCCGTCGTTTTTCGTTGCCAGCCACTCTCGAACTTTGCCGGTAACCCGTAATCATTTCGGAACTAACATCATTTCCTCCACAAACAACGATTACAACTCGACTATCCGGTGCTAGGTCTGTCATGACTTCCCTTAGCCTATCTAACCCAACTTGGACACTGATTCCGCAAGCCAGCTCGACTTCCAACCGCAGTTCATCACACAAACGCACAACTCCCCTCGCAGCATCGGCGTCGGTACCCACAATACTAGTGACTTGGATACCGGACGGAGGAGATTGAGCGTTCTTCAGCGTTTTCTGTGCCACGCAGAGTGCCCCTAGGGTGATTGCCTGCGATGTAATTGCAGGTAGAGGGTGTAAGTAACCCTTGTGTAGCGAATGAGCTAGCGAATCCGCCCCGGATGTTTCAACAGCGAGAATTTGAAGTTTCTTCATCGCTTGCTGGGGAAGCTTTGCCGGTTGAGGCACTGGCAAATGCCTCTCAAGGCCGTCGATAATCCCGTTCAAAAGACCACCACCACCAACGCTGCAAACGATTGCATCTGCCGGGAATGGACAATAGGTATCGGTTTTTCCGTGGTGCCTTGGAGGTAACTGCTTGACTAGCTCATCAGCCAGAGTCCCTGCACCGCGCCAGATGTCAGGGTGATCGAATGGTGGGATATAAATGTTCCTGATCAAGGGATCTGATTTGCTGTCCTCATTTTCAATGAAATTCTTTCGCAGGTACGAGTCAGCTTCGAACCAACTGGCGCCATGGCGGATAACATCCAAAGCCCCTGCAGCGCGTATTTTTTGGATCATCATTGGCTTCGCGCTAACGGGCACAATAACAGTACAGGAACAACCGAGATCTCGAGCGGCTATAACTGCTGCAAGCCCCGCATTGCCTGCCGAGGAGCTGAAAAAATGCAAGGTTTTGCCATTGTTTGATGGATCAGAAAGAGATGTGAGGATCAAGTTTCCAATGCCCCTAAACTAATTTAGATTCTGTATCATATCTCTTTTTGGAATGCCGAACTCACCGTGACTTGAACGAGCCAGAAGGTTGGAGCGACTCTAATTTGAGAAAAATTCTACTATATTGGCATTTTAGGTCAGCTCAGAAATTTGATTAAGGAAAATAAAAGCGCAGTCTTACCACCCAGCAGCCTTTGAGAATGTCGCCGACTCGATCAAAGGCGTTTCAATCCAGGGTTTCTTCAATTTGTGTTCTGAATCGGAATGGGCCATTGTCGAGCAATTCGAGGCAATATGTAAGAATAATAAAAACTTTTACGTCTAAAACATACGAGAAGTATATACACTTGGCTAGGATAACCAGTAATTTATATTGGGATGTTAGAAAACTTTCGGTGCCATAGGACCCGAACTTGCCGACGCCCTTCATTTGACATTGGCAGGTGTGGAGTGTGGAGAAATGCCAAGGCCATGATGCCTGAATTATCAGGAATTACCGGAATTGTCAGGCATCAAGATCGGAGATATTGATGTGTAAATGTATTCACAACACTTGCTGTCCTTCTTGTCAGCCACGAGAAAGACGATATTGCAATAGAAGAGCGAAACGAGTGATATGGTTAGTCTGACATGCGATTTACCCTTCTAGCTGAGAACTGTTACCCCGTTCTCACCTCTCCCATGCCGGTCCCCATAAGGGTAGCTGTCCCTTGGCTCATCCCCAGTTTGCAGTTTCACTTTCAATGTAATGTTGCTGGCATTATGATTGAATTTCCTGGACGATAGGGTTGATAAGTTGGTAGTATGAACGAGATTGAAATTATCAATCTATTTGAACTAAAGTGCCACTTGTAGTTCCTTCCACATGCGCAACGAGTCAAATATCAGTATCAACTTTGCTCCGGGGGCATTTAGACAGAATATGAAACTTTCAGTTGTTTTCCTTCCATCTAGAGCAAAATTGAGTTAGACCTTGTATGTAGAAAGCGAGCGGAATAAGTGAATCGAATACCTATAGCGGCACTTCATACAACAATAGAATATAGTGCTTCCTTCGTCCGCACTTCGAAGCTGCGCTTCAGTCCAAGTAGCCTGCTTGTTCGAGCACTTAGGGCATTCTATTGTCGTTATAGGGCCATCACCAAGCTCGTCCCGGGTGACAACTTGTGTTTGCGAGCGAAGTTTATCTCGGAGCCGTGAAGGAAAATTCGACGATTCCGATACACGTTCGTAGGTAAGCATTGTATCTGCGTGTTATGAGGCGATCAGCCGAGGGCAACAGTAAATCGATGTGGATGTCACACTTTTCGCGACTTTTCCACAAAGTTCACAAAGGATTTCTTCTTGGGGCGACACATCCAAAAGATGGCCACAATCCCCACAAAATTGTACAACCATAGTGGTATGAAAAGCGAAAAATAGAAAGGCCGAGATAGTAAGTCTCTTCGATATTCTCTCTGGTTAGAGTTCGGTGTAAAGGTACGATGAAGACTAATTTTTGCTAGAATGTTTAGGGATGCAAGGAGATCCTAGATAGGGAAATCAGCCCTGGAGCCAATGCTGACATGTCGATCAGGTGACAAACCCCTCTCGATGCAAGTCCAAGGGGCCATCAATTCCAGCTGATCCCAGTCTCCTAGTCGATGGACCTGCAAGTAGAACATCTTTTTACAGCATCGAGGAGTATTTGCAATTCAGAGCGCACCTACCTAATATAAAGTGAGGCTGGTTAAATGACCCCACACTAATTTGTGGAGCATCAAACCCTCTCACACAATAGCGTGGATCTAGTTCTCAGCAGGCTGTCAAAAATTGTGGCATTGTCAATAACTGAAAATGGTTCGCGAATTATGAGGGGAATTGGAGTGACTGTTATCTCTCCCTTTGCAGGCGGGAAATCGTGTCGGCACTGTTATTCTCAACCTTCAGGACTTTATACTAATTGGCAGAGTGGGAAGTATGAGATGAAACTGTGCCATCCGGTGATGGTGGGCTCTTAAGGCACTATTACTTTGTCATTCTCGAGAAATTGAAGTTATTATTGACAAAGCCCTGGAGGTTGGCTATAGAGTATTTTCTGCTAAACTTTGATGGAAAAAAGGTATATGTTATGCTACGATCTAGACCCCAATATGCCCATGGAAAAATTAGAAAGGAAGAAACGCTCTCCCGCACCTTACTATCTGACAAGGTATATATGATATATGGCTGTCAAGTATATGTATCCAGGTTAAACCACGAGCGAATTATCCATCGACAATCTCACAGCTTTCCCGCCACACTCCCTCGGACCACTGCATCAATCGCACGAGCTGTCCGCTCAGTATTATTCGTATTTAGCCCAGCGACATTGATCCGGCCGCTCACCGGGAGATGCACGTGGTATTTGTCAATGAGGGCATTGCACTGTGCGGGGGTGATCGCGAGGCACCTGGTCAACGGTCAGTTATGGTGACTCGTTTTGGGAGAGAGGACAAGATGTACGAAAAGAGCCCCTTCTCCTCCACAATATGTTTCCAATCACCTGGTGTCTGTAAAGTATATTATGTTAGCACCTGTAATCTTGATAAGACACAAGGGAAGACAGCATACTTGCAGAGTCGTCGACAGCTCTTTTAGTCGTTGTCTGTTTTGAATTAACCTTGCTCTCATGGACGCGAGTTCCTCAACCCTTTATAGAAAAAGATTGTCAGTGAGTAGAAATACGACCATTTATAAGCAAGTCCCTTACCATTGCTGACGTAGCTCGGGATCCTCTAGCACGATTGTAACCAACCGCGACCCGTACGCTGGTGATGAGGAGTATTCGCGCCGTATCAGGCTCCGCAGCTGGTCTTTGGTATTGGTCGCAGCCTCGACTGACCGTGTGACTACATGAAGAACCCCGCAGCGCTCGCCGTACAGAGCGAAATTTTTGGAGAATGATTGGCATACGATCATGTCGATACCGAGACGTGATAGTATCCGAACACCTGCAGCGTCCTCATCTAACCCATCACCGAGTCCCTGGTAGGCGATATCGATGAAAGCTAGGTGACCCCGTGCTTTTATCTCCTCTCCGAACCGCTGCCACTGATCCAATGTGATGTCTTTGCCAGTCGGGTTGTGGCAACAGCCCTGTAGAACAAATACACTCCCTGTAGGAGCACTCCTGATTGCGTCGATGCAGGGCTGGAAGGAGAGTTCGGATGTTTCACGGTCTAGGTATGGGTACTCGATGGTCTCTAAGCCGGCATACTCACAGAGCGGCTTCATGTTGTTCCAGGTAGGCACTCCGAGGTAGATGGCTGGCTTTGGATCGAGTAGTCTAGCTATGAGGACAGCGGCGGTATGGTTGGCTCCTGTGCCCGAGAGAGTCTGTACGGATGCGATCTAGTTTGGGGAATTAATATATGATCATCCAAATATTCTGTGGAGACGAACCCGCCCTGATACCAACGCTTCATTTTCTTGGCCAAACATGACTTCCGCTGCGAGCTTGAGGAATCGATCATCCCCAGTAGTGAGTCCATACTAAATTATTGGTTAGTGGTGCGGTTTGGGATCTTTGATATATGCGGAATATTACATCATGCCCCAACTCGAGTTGCTCCAGTATTTTCTTTGCCTATGGGTACGTCTCGTTAATAACTGTCTTCTCATCATCTTTGTCTTGATTTGGCATGATTACCCTTTTTACGACAGCCAGCTCCTGGTAGGTCCCTTGCTCGCTTCGGTATATGCCTACCCCTATGTCAACCTTGTCTGGGTGGTCATCTTCATCGGCCTTTTTCTTCAGATGAAAAAAAGGGTCTGCAGGACCCGAGGGTATATTGTCAAACATATTTTTTTTCGATAGAATGAAGTTTGGAGAGGGAAATGGAAGGTAAGACTCGTATCAGACTCTTGCTACTCCGCGTTTCTTGCGCAGAATTTCTCACCTAAATACATAACCCCAACATCTCTCCGGCATATTAACCCGATATTTTTGAAGCTAAACTTGGTGTAATTTCCCACAGAGTCGGCAGCCTACCCGATCTTGTTCATGTTACGGCACGGCAGCTCAGGAGCCGACCCGGAAAAAGAAGGGTACGGCCTGCACCAACCGGTCCCGATAAACATCTATAGATCCTGATCAGTACAAAAGGAGTCAGCGGATTGGATTTTCCTATATCAAGATATCTCGACTCCTCTCAAATCATTTACAAGTTGTCAAATCGAATTACTTCTACTTCTACTTTTATTTTGTTCATTATGGGTTCCAGCTACACCAACAACCTGCTGCAGAAAACGGCGAAGGGCCAAATCTGCAAGGCAAGTCTAACTCTTAGTGACCGCTGTGGGATAATTATCTGTCTGATAACTGGTGATAATAGGCATTCGGTATCCGGCTAGTCACCAACCCCCAAGTGGTCCAGTTGGCGGCGAACAGTGGATACGATGCGCTCTTTATCGACCTAGAACACTCGACGCTATCTCTAAATGATGCAAGTCTGCTGTGTATGGCGGGCCTGGGTTCAGGTATCACACCCTTTGTCCGCGTCCCCTACCAGTGTGGCGACGGCTTCGTGCAGCGCGTCTTGGATGGCGGTGCCATGGGAGTCATCTTTCCCCATATTCATAACAAAGGTAAGAAACATACCCTGATTTTCTTTCTTTTACTAATTTTCGCTTCCACAGATGATGCCCTAAGCGCAGTGTCCATTTGCAAATATCCACCTACGGGGAAGAGGTCTATGACAGGCCAGCTGCCATATTTCCGGCTTCAGTCGACGCCGGTCGGTGTTTTCACCCAGGAGAATAACTCCAATGCATCGTCTGTTTTTGTGATGATTGAGACCCGGGAGAGCATCGACAATGTGGACGAGATTGCTTCCGTGGGTGGGATAGATGTGCTGCTGATCGGGTCGAACGATTTATCTACGGAACTTGGGGTCCCTGCCCAGTTCAAGAGCGATGAATTTCAGTCGGCTGTGGAGGCAGTGAGTCGGGCCTGCAAGAAACATGGCAAGGTATTCGGTCTTGCTGGTATCTACGAGAACGAAGAGCTGCATGACTGGGCTCTGAATAAGCTCGGAGCCGGTTTCATTTTGGTACAACAAGACTCAGGCATCTTGGCCCGAGCTGGAAAGGATTGTGCAAACGCTATTACATTGCTCACTGGTCGTTAGGATTCTGAGCTGTATCTATATTTTCTGCTAGTGGTCTTCTTTGCCTGGTGGCAGCCATTGTGTAGTCATTTATACCATTCTGTCTAATCTACACATGGCGATATCTGCTACAGGGTTAAAAAATAAATTCAAAGCAGCTTATACCCTTTTCTAAGCCGGAGAAGTCGTCCAAAATGCGCTAAGCATACACAGTAAAATCAAATAAGAAAGGTTTAGTGTGTCCGGTATCCCTCTAGCCACAAGAATGAGGGTCTAGCAGGCCAAAGCTAACGCCGAGCTCGTTCGCAAACTGCTGCAAGGTAGTTCCATCAGGAAAGGCATTCGGCCAGGTGAAAGACTTCTCGGCTAAGAAGCCGTCAATATAAGGATTGGCTAGCGCGTCAAGATTGTCCTCGAGCCTGAAATTCTCGATCCCAACACCTCCAACGTCACTATTCTGTGAAGCCCAGCCAACCTCATCTAACCGTGCCCTTTCATGGCCCGTACCTACGATTTGAGGACTCTGCACGGCGGTGGCGGGCCCACCATCTCTCCCTTTCCTAACTCCATCCCTCAGCTCAGCAATACTTTTCTGCACAAGAAGAAGGCGTTCATAGTAGTCATTGGCGGGAACGTTACCATCATCACGCATAGAGCATAGCACACTGAGAGCAGTGTCAACCGCATCAGAGACAGCCTGACTGGGGCTCATGACGGCGGACATGAGAAGAATCAGAGTAGAGGAGAAAAGGTAGTGCGCGTCCCAGTAGCCCAGAGTAGCCAATGTGCCGTCAACAAATAGCTTGGAAAGGATGCGGTTGGATGTACGCGCCGCATTTACGCAGCTGTCAGCCAGCGCCGTCGTCGTCGGCGAGAAGCTCTGCGATGGCTGGTCTGCGGTGCGGGACCCATCCAGACAGAACTGCACACGGAATAAGTGTAGTAATATTGGTCGTGTTGTGTGGATTATGCACTGGTTGTAACAGAGGTGGAGACTGGCGACATGACGGTTTGAATCGTCCCAGCGGAAAGCGAGGTGTTGAGGTAGCGTGTCATCCCAGTCTCGGAGGTTGCTTAGAATACCGTGAACCCTCTTCACGAAGTGGATCTTCTTTCGTCCTGGCATACAGTATATATCGCTCACTTATTTGTACTCAAATGTTAGCTTGGTATGTCCCTGGGAATAGGAAGAATGGCTAGTTAGAGGAGAGCTGCTTACATATGTCTCCTGCTATCTTCGCAAGGCCAACGCTCGCGAATAAGTGGTGTGGATCTGGAAATTCTTCCTTCTCTTCAGGCGTTAGCCCATCCATCGTCGGGAGTTCCACGTCAATGTCATCGTCATTCACAGCCGTTGGTTGGCCGAGCTTCGAGCAAGTAAGCCGGTCAAAAAGGTAAAGAGACCACCATATGCGGCGCCGGGACTCCCGCTCGACAGCACTGGTATGTAGAGACGACGATGATCGATGCATGCCAAGGCTTAGCGCGATTCTCATCCCAATACCTGAATATGTGTAGGCAGATCTAACGCGGCCGAGTGCATTCGAGTAACAGGCCTGCCGAAATTAGGTATGTTTCATAGAGACGCGAATATCCAGTGACTAACCAGTAAGAGATAAACCTCAACATGTAGAGTTGTGGTATCTTCATATTGATCATGTAACATACTCAAAGCAGATACAAAATATTCCTCCCCTGGGGCCCTATTGTCGCCGTTACCGCGCCGCCTATTCGAGTACAACTCACCAAGAGCGACCAATGCTAACAACTTACACAACCATATAGAGCTAGGCTCGGCATCTTTCTTGTAGACGCTGTCGACCTCCTCCATATATGAAGTTAAATAGAGATGCTGGCCATTTCCGATGAACCTCGCGGCCACCTGGATCAGGAGCTTGGCGTGGACTCGGTCGGGTAGGGTATAGTTAATGGCGGGCATGCGTGCTCCAGGAAGGTCTATCATGTACTTGTGCGGTGGCGGCAATGAGTTGGCTTCTCTCTGGCTGAGCGACTGCAGAAGCCTCTCGATAAAGGCATCGCATGCCGCTTCACCAACGAAGGACGGTTCCGTTACGATTTGGGTGGGTGGCTTCTCCCGGCGTGCATCGAACAACGGGTTTACGACTCCGAGGTCCGATACTGCTGATGTTATCGTCGAGTCAAGTAGCTGGTCGACGTCAACGGGACTCCTCGGCCGGCTGCGGGCAGATTCATTTTGATGTCTGAGAGCATTCGAGTCGGCCTCTAATTGTTTCAGATAGCTTTAGGCGCTCTTAGATAAGATACAATCGCATACAGACCAGCTGCTGTGAGGGATTGACCTACCTCTCGGATATTGTGACCTTCCGCTCTCGAAAAGGATAGTTACAAGCACTCGCTTGGCCGGCGGTCAAGCAGGCACTGCATGGGGTACCTCCAGAGCACTTGACCTTCTGGGCATGACATCTCCGGCATCTGAGGGCAATTAATTCAGCTAGAACATCTCAAATGACAAGAGTGGGTCATGGGTGTTTGCTCACGCAACCGAGCTCCTCTTTGTCCGTTTCGCGCGTCTTTGTGACTCGCCGCCGGACGACTCCGCACGATCCATAGAAGGCTAGGTCAAGCTAAAGCGATGAAGTACTTTTTAGAGCACGCTGAGCCGAAATTATCTGAGTATCCAGGATCCAGAGGGTAGATATCGGCAACAAGGCTCAAAGCCTCGGGATGTTCTAGCACAAGCCGGGTCTTATCGGTGGGGATTGGTTCTGTCTCCGTCCATATTAGCTAGACACTCCATGATTGGAGATATTTGGCGACGCTACTATTTTCCCCACAAAATTCGGGGATTCTCATTTGCGCACCGCATTATTCATTATGGAATGGGATTGAAGGTTATCTATGGGCGACGGATCGGACCACTACGACAAAACTAATTTTTGGCTCACCGCTCTAATCACCGCCTGTATGATTATGGTCTTAGGCCTGTATGTAACATTGCAACCTCTTTACATTTACCTCTAGTATACGTCTATCAATTAACCTTAAACCTTTTAAAGAGTAGATTACCTCTCTCTATAATGGCAGTACCATATTTAAGAGAGGAGAGTGTACTATATAAAGAATACGTATGCTTTAGAAAATATCAATTTACGTAAGGAGGAGAAGATGGTGGTATACGGGGAGGTCATATGACCTGGAATAATCTACTAGGTATAAAATAGTCTTGGTATTCATAAAATTGCTTAGTCATCGATGCTATTCCTCTAGTTATCTTAATGCCCTATACCAGAATTCACCGCCTTTCAGAATTCTGCTAGTTCTACCGATTTGAAACTCCTAGTCGGCAGTATATTTAATAGGAAGGCGGTCTAGGAAGACATTTTCCACACTTACTTGCTTACTCTATGCTTACTTACTCAGGTATACTTGCTTATCAGCTTCTAATAGTTATAATTAGTTTGAAATTTATAACTCTTTTAGAGAGGGGCATTTTAATTAATTAGATCTTCAAATTTGAACTTAATGCGACCGTTGGAAAGTGAGTAATTAGAGAAAATATAAATTGCTGTATACTCATTACAGCTGTGGAACAGCGTATGGCTAGCTGACTAATTTTCTGCTCGGCAGAAAATTAGTTTTGTCGTAGTGGTCCGATCCGTCGCCCATAGTTATCGGGAGCTCCTCCGAAAAATAATATGCGGTGGTAAGGCGG